GGGGCAGTTCTACTCCATCCTATAGTGTCGCTATCAGTGGGAATCAACTTGGCGGTGATGGGTTTTGTTTTCTTTTATGAATTCCTGAGGGAAGACAAACGCAGGCAGAAATCAGAGTAAGTGCAAAGTCTCTGTGAAGGAGCATGCTCAAAAGTATTTGAGTCGAATGACAGTAACTGTCCTCAAAAAGTATACTGTGGCCAAGTGGCCCCATAGCGTTTTGTGGGCTTTTACCCTGAGCTGAGAATCACTGAATAGTTTTAAGCAAAAGATTGACATATTCTGATTGACATTATAAAAGGATCCTTCAGAGCAGGGGGATACACAGCAGGAGGGAAGGAGGGACAGGGCAGAAGCGGGAGACCAGATAGGAGACCTCCACAATAATCTGGGGGAGGTGGGTGGTTGATGGGAGTTGGTGCCAAAGTGTTACCAGAGTAAGGTGATGAGAAGCGTTAGATTCTGGAATTATTCTGAAGACTGAGCCAATGGGACTGGGTCTGGCCAGGCTGTGTGGTGTAAGAGGAGTCAAGGATGATTGCCAGGTTTTTAGCCTTAGCAACTGGGAAAATGTAGTTGCCACTTATTGAGGTGCAGGATGAAATGGGGCGGGGGTACAGAATCAACAGTTTGGTTTTGGACCTGTTAGGTTTGAGATGATTATTAGATGTTCAAGTGGAGATGTCAAATAGGCAATTCAATATGTATGAAAGCATTCAATCCACAGCTGACTGAATGTATAAGCTCAGGTTAAAAGATGTGGAAGCAGACTGCCACATCTTTCTCCCGTGGAGTGGCTGGTGGGTTCGAACCACTGATCTTTCAGTTTGCAGCTGAGTGCTTAATCACTGTGCCACCAGCCGCTCCATGCGAGAAAGATGTGGCAGTCTGCTTCCGTGAAGATTACAGCCATGGAAACCCTCTGGGGCAGTTCTACTCTGTCCTACAGGGTTGCTATGAGTCGGAATGAACTTGACAGCAATGGGGTGTATATGTGCGTATATATGTATGTATGTATATACATACATATATATATTTCACTGAATTGATCTCTAAATTAAGATTTACTTTAAAATGTATTAGACAAAGTTTGTAACTAAAGAACTATATTAATAAGCTTTTCAAAATTAATAACAATATGAAAAAGCCTTTTTTCCCCTCACAGAGGTACTTCTATGTACGTATGCAGCTTTTTTTTTTTTTTTTAACATCTTAGGTCCAAATTTTATCTTTTTTTTTTTGGGAAAATCCCTGATTATAATAGAAATATTGGCAACAGCCTCTATGTCCAATCACAGGAAACTGATTAAACTTTGGCATATTTATAGAATGGAATACTATGGAGTTTCTGTAATTGTAATGCAGCTGTATGTTCAGCTATATGTTTACTAGAACTATAGGTAGGGTTGGGTGAAAGCAGGAGTCCCTGGGTAGTGTTAACAGTTAATATTCTCAGCCACTAACTGAAAGGTTGGAAGTTCAAGCCCACTTAGAAGCATCTCAGAAGAAAGGTCAGGTGGTCTACTCCCAAAATGTCAGCCATTAAAAACCCTATGGAGCACAGTGCTACTCTGACACAGACAGGGTTGCCATGAGTTGGAGTCGACTCAACAGAAACTTGTACTAGTAGGTGAAAACATAATGTTAAGTGAAAAATATAATTATAAAACCATGAGGAGTATGGCTAGATAATGATAAAAGGAAAATATATATATGTGTATACGTATGTATGCACACGTATTGGTATGTATATACATACATATGCAGGGAAAAAAATCTCAGAAGAGATATTCCCAAAATGATATAAATAATTAGCTTTTGTGATAGGATTATAGAGGGACCAGTCGTCTGAGAAGGACACAAGCTTGGAAAAGTAGAGGGTCAACAAAAAAGAGGAAGACCCTCAATGAGATGGACTGACACAGCGGCTGCAACAACAGGCTGAAACACAGCAATGACTGTGAGGACGGCGTAGGACCGGGCAGCGTCTTGTTCTGCTGGGTCACGATGAGTCGGAACTGACTCGATGGCACCTAACAACAACCTAACAAGGTAATGGGAGACTAGAAAAGCACAGGCATTACACTTCTAAACTATTAATACGAGAAGTCTTTTTTTGATTGTTTTAGTTAACAGCCTTCAAGAATACCCACCAACGCTTTCACCCTAGAGTAATGTAGCTGTTTATAAAATCTGATTTCTAAAACTGATAAAATTAGAAGGTAACAATTTGTTCGAAAAATGTCATACAGGACTCTATCAAATGTACATTTAAAATGTGATTCCAGTAACCAAAGCTTTATTTTCCTTTGTCCTTAAAGGTTGTCTTGCCAAATTCATTCGACGGAGGAATTTATTTTTTTCTAGTAACGTTCTTTACAAGTAGTTATTCAGCTTTTGCTCAAACACTCCCAGTGGGGGAAAGCAGTGTCTCAGAAGTGACGCTACTCAAAAGCAGACTGTCCAGCTGAGAATCAGATTTTCCTCACAGAGAAATGAAATCTAGTTTCCTGTAATCGATGCCCTCCCGTTTCTATTTCTGTTCCATCCAGCCAACCAGAATAAAGTCTAACCCCAGCCCATATCACAGTCTCTGAAACATCTGAGGACAGATATCACATTCCTCCCATGTCCTCTTTTTACTGGTAAACATCTCCTAGGCAACTGTCTATAATTCAGAGGAAAGTACACAGCCCCTGAAGTCAGAGCTGAGTAGATTCCTAGCTGTCTATTCTTGGAAAACCCCACTAAGCCTCACCTAAGTCTCCTCATCTGTGAGAGAGCACAGTGAGGCCCAGTGCAGTGCTTGATCCAGTGAAGAAACTCAAAAAAATGTTAACGACTCTCCTCCCCTGGCTTATTCCTGTCTGTCCTTAAAATGAGGAGCTTATAAGTGAATGAAGCACTCCAGATACAAGTGTGATTGGTTCTGAGTTCTGGAGACTGTACTCCTAAAAAAGTACCCCTAAGGTGACGAGGACTTCAAGTTACCAAAGAATTTTTAACGTGCCCAAAGTCCCAAAATTTTATTTATATGAAAATAAAGCAGGGCTTTCTTTCCTATCCTGTACTTCTATCATGACTTTTTTCTGATTCTATATGAAATACTGCACATTTAGCCATGCAAAATTTCATCTTATTAGTTTGGCCTATCCTTCCAGTTGGTCCATCAAGGCCTTTCTGGAAATGGAATTATTTTATCCAACTTATTAGTTTTCCAGCCTAGCTTTGTTTAATCTGCAAATTTATGTCATGTAGAACATGGCTGAGCCTAGGTATATTCTGAGACATCTATTTCACAGAACAGGCTGCACAACTTACAAGCAGCACAACTGCCTGGCCTGAGTTTTTCCCTCCTCTTCCCCACACCACACATCTTTACGGCAGAACCTGCCAAAGAAGAGTCCTCATGTCACTGAGAGCACAACAGGGTCCTCCAGCTGATACATGGGCTGGTCCAAAGGAGAATGTAAAGATACAAGGTTCCCATGCAGTAAAAGGAGAAAATAAGTACTAGGTTTACTGTGCTTTGTCACTGAAAACCAATGAAATACAGCTCTGGGTGGTCAGCAGTGCAACCACCCTGTCAGCTTGGATATAAAGAGCATGGGCTTTGGAGGCAGGCTTCCTGGGTTCAAATCCTGGCACCACTATTTGCTTAATTTCTTAATTTCTCTGTGCCTTGGTTTCCTCATTTGTAAAATGAGGATGACTCTAGCATTGAGCTCATAGGGAGGTAGGAAGGGAAGGAGGCACAAGGGGAGAGAGAGGAGAACCACAGGAGGTCACGGTTGAGGTCTAGTCTTATTCTTGCTCGCAAAGTTCTTTATTCCAACCTACAACTCAAAGAAGTTTCCTTTTTCCTTCACACTCAGGTTAAGTTGGGGCAAGATTAGCATTCTTTCTTGGTGGCCAACAGCCAACACACGGTCAGTGTCTTCAGGGTCTTTTTCTCTGCCAGACTGGAGAACAGATGCTAATGGAGGGGATATCTAAAATAGTCCAATGAGTGGCTTCCAGGCAATAGAAAGGAATGCGAGGATGTTCAACACACATCATCTCGGCTTAAATAAATGAGAGTTCTTCCTCTCCATGTTTGCATTACATTGTACTCTTGCACTCTGCACTTTCTTTAGATGGGCACATAAAGAACTTTTCATCAGTTAATCCATTTTATCAATGGACCATGTATTAATAAATAGTTCATATATTTTTAAGCCTCTGTGGCTCACACCTTCCATATAGTGCATATGAACTTCTGTGGGAAGCCGAACTTTGGAGGCACTAAAACCCAAAGCGCCATAGCTGGTAACATAAACCTTGCCTTGTGAGGCTCTACCTTTAGTCTGGCTCCTGCAGCTTCAGCTCCAGGCTATGTCTGGTTCTCCTCTGGGTTCTCGGGCTGGCCATGGCCCAGCTCCACTCCCCCATTTCCACCCTCATCTCACGCTGTCTTATGTTACCTTAAAACATACACCACTGAAAGGAGACACTGAGAGCAGATGGGAAAAAGCAATGAACTATTACTAAGTGAAGGGCTGGGGTGGGAGAAGAAACTTGCAATTTTTATCATTCTGTTTCCTTTTTACACACAAACAACCCAGGGAAGTTATCTATGTTAACAGAAGAGACGTATATTTTTCGTTGTATATATTTAAGAACATGCATATGTATGTACACATACAACAATATTTATTGCTAAAAATGGATGAATACTTCATACTGACCTTAGGGGGTTTAAACGGATAGTCTGGTGAAAAGGTAATGTCAAGAAAGAACACCCCTCCTTCATAGACAGATCCTGGGGGTCCCAATATAGTTGACCTCCATTCATAAATGTTGTCTCCTTTGGGTCCAGCACTAAAATAAGACATACAAATGAAATGTGCTTAGAAATTACACAGAGCCTGAAATTTAAAAAATCTACTTATGGTAACAATAAATAGAACAACTGCATAAAAACACAACAAAGTTAATAGGTAAATTCTGTGTAACAATTCATACGTCAATATCATCAGTATCCTAGAAATAAAACATGGTGACATTACTTAATAAAACAGAACAAAGAAGAATTCTCTTATGCCATTCACATTGCTAAGCCTACAAAACAAAAAAGATTCCAAAGACCATAGCCCAGAGGTAGGATACAAATGTTTAACTAAGCATGAGATTATCTGTGAAGTCCTGAAAAGGGTAATATAGTCATAGGGTCAAGGAGACAAAATTTCAAAGCTATTAGGGCCACTGGAAACCAACTAGCCTAATCCTTTTTGCTAACAAACAAGAACAAAAATGAAGTTCATGAGTAAACGTTTACTATCCCTAAGAGTTCAAGTATTATATCTCATCTGAATCTTCATTCTTCCTCTCTCCCACCCAAAGGGCTCCCCACTCCTCCCAATACATTATGATCAGCATAATCTATGGATAAAATGTATCACTGTTTTATAACTCTGTTTTGTGACTCTTTCTTCTGTCCCGACCTAGAATAGAAGCTCCTTGAGGAATGCATTTTGCCCTGTCTTTAGTGTCCAGTAAGTAAACATTTGTTGGGTGATGATGGATAAACAGCAAAGCAAGTGAAGCCACATGGTTACTAAGTCTAGAGATACTCACTGAGGAAAAGAAGGCCCATGCAAATCAACTGAATTGTGTACTGAAGGGCAAAACAAGATTCGAATTTAGCTCTCTACTGTTCTTTGTACGACATCAAGATGTTACCTGTGCCTAATAACTAGAAATTCTCCTCACACCCTGTAGCAAAGTACAGCAAAGGTGCTTGGGAAATATTTTATTGCCAACAGTGATTTTACTTCTTTACCCCCTTATTTTGAAATTAGTTTGGCTCTACAAACAATTCATTGCTGAACAGATACAAAAAAAGAAAGCATGCATCATGACAAATTTGGGATTATTCCAGGAGTGAAAAGATAGCATAATAACAGAAAATATATCAATGTAATTCACCTGACTAACAGATTAAAGGAGAAAAAAATGATAGCCTCAAGATACAAAAAAAGCATCCAACTGACATTAATAACCACTTACGACAAAAACTCTTAGCACAACTGGAAGAGAAGGAAACTCCTTGGAACCAGATTTAAGAGCATCCACCAAAAACCTCACAGCAATTAGTGTATAATCAATACTGAAAACACTCCCTTTATTTATTTTGACTATGCTTTGGGTGAAAGTTTACCAAGCAAACTCACTTCCCACTCAGTAATTTACACACAAAGTGTTCCGTGACATTGGTTGCAATCCCTGCAATGTGCCAGCACTCTCCCATTTCCACCCTGAGTTCCCCATTTCCATTCCTCTGGCTTTCCTGCCCCTTCCTGCCTTCTCATCTTTGCTTTTGAGCAATGTTGCCCTTTTGGTCTCATATAGTTGATTGTTCTAAGAAGCACTTTCTGCACAGGTGTTATTGTTGAAAACACTCCCTTTAAATTGAGGAACAAGAAAAGGATGCTTGCTCTCTCGACTTCTAATCACTATTGTACTAGAGATCATAGTCATCAAAGTATGAATAATACAAGGAAAAGAGAAATAAAAACGTATATGGATTGAAATGGAAGAAATAAAACCATTAGTATTTGCAGCATTTATGTATACAGAACCCACCTCCCAAATCCATATAGAATTTATTAAACTTAATAAAAGAGTATATAAAAAAATCTACAGCATTTCAATATTCCAACAAAATCAGAAAAAGTATTTTAAAATATCAGTTACAACAGCATTAAAAGTATAAGGAAGCTACGAATAAACATCATGACAGATATATAAGATCTTTATGGAGAAAATTATAAAATTATTGAAATACACACAAGAGGGTTAATCCTTTCATGCTAACGGGTACGCTAAGGGCCAAGTACTTTTTCTGCCTCTGAAGGTTTACTGGGAAGCTGCTGTACCATTGGTAGTGCGTCCTGCTGCAAGGCAGGGACATTTATGACTTTTCGAAACCAAAGAAACAGGTGTGTGCTGCAAATTACTGTTTTCACAGGGTATTGTAGGCAGTGTCTGAATGGAAATGGAAATTTTTTGAAAATTCTTATTTGTTACACCTATGTACCAATAGACGCCAGTGGGAACTCTGGGGTATAACTGGTGGTACTTTGTATGTGCCTCTAAGTACTTGGGGTAGGCTTGTGGGAGGAGGCAAGAAAAAAAAACAAAACCATACTGCCTACTAAAAATTCAGACACACTCAATGATTCAGCATGCTTCCATTACTGAAAACAAATGGTATCAACAAAAAATTAAAAGCAGAAAATAACTGGTTCATGAAAGGGTTAAATGAGAACTGATACCATGTTTGTAAATAGGGAGATCCAATATCCTACAGATGTCAATTTCCCCCAAACTGATCCAATGCAATTCCAATCAAAATCCCAATATTTTTTTTTTTCAAATGAAACTTGAAAACTGATTCTAAAATTTATATGGAAGATCAAAGAAACTCCTCCAATTTTCCCACATACATACAGAAACCTAATATATGTCAGAACCGATAGGGCTAGGGAAACTGTTTTTGTATTTGGAAAATACATAGTGGATTTCTACTTCAATAAATATGCAAAACTCAACTGCAGGTGGATTAAACACTTAAATGCAAAAGTCAAAAGTTTCAGAGTTTGTTAAAAGACAGTGACAAGGCAAGCCACAGACTGAGAAAAGATATCTGCATCATATAAAACCGACAAAGGATTAGTGTCCAGAATATACAAATTCCTATGAAGGAAAAATAATCGGAGAAGCAGGACTATATGAAGAAGGGGGCATAAGGATTGGAGAAAGACTCATTAACAACCTGCGTTATGCAGATGATACAACCTTGCTTGCTGAAAGTGAAGAGGACTTGAAGCACTTACTGATGGATTACACCTCAACATAAAGAAAACAAAAATTCTCACAACTGGACCAATAAGCAACATCACAAGAAATGGAGAAAAGACTGAAGTTGTCAAGGATTTCATTTTACTTGGATATACAATCAACACCCATGGAAGCAGCAGTCAAGAAATCAAAAGACGCACTGCATGGGGAAAATCTGCTGCAAAAGATCTCTTTAAAATGTTGAAAAGCAAAGATGTCACCTTGAAGACTAAGGTGTGCCTGACCCAATTTTCAATCGCATTATATGTATGTGAAGGCTAGACAATGAATAAGAAAACTGGAGGAGAATTGATGCCTCTGAACTGTGGTGTTGCAGAAGAATACTGAATATACCGCGGACTGCCAAAAGAATGAACAAATCTGTCTTGGAAGAAGTACAACCAGAATACTCCTTAGAAGCTAGGATGGTGAGACTACATACTTTGGACATGTTATCAGGAGGGATGAGTCCCCTGAAGAAGGACATCATGCTTGGTAAAGTAGAGCGTCAGTGAAAAAGAGGAAGACCCTCAATGAGATGGAATGACACAGTGGCTGCAACAGTGGGCTCAAGCATAACAATGATTGTGAGAATGGCGCAGGGCCGGACAGTTTTCCATTCTGTCACTGTGAGTCGGAACCGACTTGACAGTGCCTAACAACAACAGCATGAAGCAAAAAAAGACCAACAATCCAACAGATAAGAATAAGCACTTCCAAAAAGAAGACACACAAATGGCCAATAATCATATAAAAATGCTCAATTTCATTAAAAATCAAGGAAATAAAATTTAAAATCACAATTCAATATTACTTTTCAAAATCTACAGGCAAAAATGAAAGCCTGATGAAAACAAGTACTGATGAAGACATGGGAAAACCAGAACTATACACATTGCTGATGAGAGCGTACACTGTAACGATCATTTTGGGTAAGCATGTGGGTTGAATATACTCCTACCCTTCAACTGTACTCTTAAGTATACACAGCAATTACACTTGTAGGTATGTACCCCAGAGAAAGTCTTGTGCATGCGCACCAAGGGATATATACAAGAATGTTCATGGGAGCACTATTTGTAATAGTACAACTGAAAACAACACAAATGTCCACTGACAGAAAAATGCACAAATGTGGTATATCCATCCAAAGGAAATACAACAGTCGAAACACTACACAGCAGTGAAACACTAATGTGAATAAACTGTAAAGATAAAATACTGAATAAAAAAAGCAAATCTAAAAAAGAATATATAGAGTATAATGCTACTACTACAAAGTTTAGAAGTAAGCAAACAAGAAAATTATTGCTGAGGAACACACGCATATGCACTGAGTTATATAAAGAAACGCAAGAAAATAAATGAGAAAAAAGTTCAGGAGAGGGGTTTCCTAGGTGGTAGCAGAGGGTGGAGGAACAGCACACAGGGGCCACGATGGTTCTGGTGATGTTCTACTTCTCAGTGTATGTGGTGGACTCACGAGCATCTGTTTCATTACTCGGCTTCATAGTTTACTTATGTGTTAGGTATGTTCTTTTATATGTATCAATTTTCATATCAAGAAAAAGTATGTAGAAAACATTTTGTTATGCGAGAAAAGCAAGTTGAAGCCTATGTGCAGTGTGATTGTACCTACATACATTAAAACCATATAAAACAATGCTCTCTATTGTCTATGGATGCATAGCTATGTAAACGTCTTTTAAGAAATGGATGGAAGGATATGCCTAAATTCATGACTGGTTGTGCAAGGAGCAGGCGAGAGGTGGTGTGGGGAGATGGGATGAAAGAGACCTGCAGATGGTGAATTAAGGAGAGTTTGATATTTCTAGTGTTTGATTTCTCCTACGTAAAAAAAGATGAAGTTAAAAAAATCATCGTTGGTCAAGCTTACTGCCAAGTGCTGAAATACATTGAGAAGCAGTGGTGCAAGGGACTGGAGTACAGCATTCCTGTCCCACCTTCCCCTCCATCCTACCTCTCCTGAGGCTGGCAGTGCAACACAGAGAGAATACATCCAGGCCAGATGACAATAAAGCTTTGGAACAACAGCCCTTGTTGCCACACAAGCTTACTCACTCAGATGAATAATACACATGGTTATGCCCTGAGCTATAATTAGACTTAGTATGAACAGATAAGTTTATCAGAAGGAAGAGCTTAAAAGTAATTACAGGTTCGCAATTGCAACATTACTTCAAGGTAAATGAAGAAATTTAGTAAACACACACACACACACACACAAGAATGCAGAGCACACAACTCTGATACAATGAGCAAAGACATATTTCTGAAATATGAAAATATAACTTCCCTGAAAATGATGTCTACACTTCGAGAAATTTAAAGATGATCGTCCAAGAATGGTAGCCAATTAATTCTATGA